ACTGTGATCACCCGTAATCTCTCCGTAGTGAATTTCTTGTTTAGGAGTAGGCTGACCCTCGTTTCTAGAGTGCCCGCATCGAACACTCTGAATGGGCCTCCGCTTGTGCTGTACCCCTGTCCCGTTTGTGTGTTTCTCCATGGTTCTGTTAGGGCTACCACATCCACCTGACGGATCTCTTCTTGCGCCATGAATTCGATCATAACCTTCCTTCTGGATTTCCGTACGTTGTACTGGATAATCCTGAGGGTGTCGACATTGTCGTCCCTCATAGTTCCTCTTCATCGATGCTCCCTACCCTTCCTACCATTTGGCTTTCGGGCTGGGATTGTTCCTGCGTCGGAGTGTTTCCTTTGGCGCTTTCCTTCGCAATGTGGAAAGGGCTTTCCCCTTGGGGCATGCCAAAGTGAAAGTCCGACTTGTTGAGGGCTCCGAATGGTCGCCCTTTTGGCTTCGGGCCCGTACCCTCTGCCTTCCTCTTACTCCCTCTCTCCTCCTCCTCAACTTCCATTTCCTCCTCGTTCTGTGACGATGGAATGGCCTGGGAGCTCTCGGGTGACTCTTCCTTATAGAAGTAGTAAGATCTCCGGGGCCCCCTTGCAGGTTGGAATCTTCTAACTTTTATGCGGATGGCTCTTAGACCGAGAGCGTTGTCGATAAGTCGGTTTGCGATCTTCGCATTGTCGATCACGATTCTCATCGATTGTCTTTCCTTTTTTCGCTCATCTTGCCAGGTTTTACCCCACCAAGATGCTCGGATGATGTTGAGGCCCATATAGCCTGAGCCGTTCTCCTCCCAGATGGCTTTCGCCGTCTCCTCCGCAGTGCCCATCTTCGGTACTCCCGAGAGGAGTAGCTCGCACTCATTCTTAGTCGCTAGTGTGACTGAGGGTTCCCATTTCTGGATCCAGTCCATGCTCATAAGCGCCTGTTTTGCTCCGTGTCCTTTTAGGTAGACAATAACCTCGTTGTACCCGCGTAATTGCACAGATAGAATTCGGTCTGCTACCGCTGGGCCTGCTCTCTGTCTGATGTCCCGGAGTATCTCCCACGGGTCCAATCCTTGCATCCTGACTCTGTCTGCTTCCTTATTCACCCTGAGCCGAAGGATCCCTCCTTCCGCGTTCGGTGGGCGGCTCTGTACGCTTGGTTTTGCGGACTGGCTCCTCAGTTTCCGCCTCTGTAGGCCTAAGGCCGATGTTGCCGAGTTACTGCTCAAAAAGGGCGAAGAAGATGGCGTTCTCGATCGGGTAAGTGAGACTCCCTTCCTGAAGGTACCTTCAAGGCCTTTGTCGCTTTGTCCTTGCTGGCTCCCCTTGCGGTTTACCAGTGTCCATTGTTGTTGCGGGCCTGCCCTTCCTACCGGCTGAGGGTTTTCCCTTTCTTCGATCGGGTTTGATTCTGGGCTTGAGAAGGAGACCGATCTCTCCTGTCCCTTTCCCTTCCGTTCTTTCCCTTTCTTCTTGCTCCTGCCCCTGCTTGGGCTCCTATTCTCTGTGCTACGACGCGTGTCGTTGGGCGCGTCATTTTCGCGTTTTTCACTCAGATTTTCGCGTTCTGAGCTCTAAAGTCCTCTCAGCGCTGCGCTCAGCCTTCCTGCGAGCGCGAAGTAGGTGTTATCGTCAACTGTCTGTCCTCTGACCTCGTCGAAGCCGTTTTGAAGCTCCTGCAGGAGCGCGATCGCCTTTTCTGTCGCCATCTCTCTATTCTTTTTCTAAGTAAGGAGTAAAAAGAGGCCCTATAGAGCACTTCATTTAAGATATCCTAAATTAGAGTAAGCGTTGTAAAAAGGATTACGTTAAATAAGGCTAACTAATCGGATCGACTAAGCTATTTTATTCCTAGGATACACCGCGGATTATATAAAATTAGTGACTTAATTAGATTTAAATAGATAGCTATTACTATATCCTAGCCGTATCTATCTAGTTCTATTTTCCTCTAGTTCCTTAACTATTAATCCCGTATATCTAAAGTAGCCTTTAATACTCCCCTCTTTCTCTCCCACCGTATCTACGCACTATTCGAGAAACGTACTAAATTCTAGCTCTATGTTAGGATTCATGTGTGACACTCGGTGCATGATATCCAACCAACAAGAAAGAGAAGGTAGACCGAGGGGGATCACGTGGGGGAGATCACGTGATATGATCAGGATCGATCAGACTGATCAGGAGTGATCAGTGGTGATCGCGTACTGATCATGCTAAGCACGACTGAGCACTACGAGTCTCCTATGTCTATATAGTTGTGGGCTTCACTCACCTTTCATAGCTCTCCTTCGTAGTCAACTTCGCTCACAAACTAGGTGATACACTTCATCAATAGTTTTCGTTCTGAATACAGACACCCTTGCTCTAGCATACGCATCGAAACATCTTCTTCCGCACGTCAGTGAACCTTGCTCGAACACGTGACTCCTTGAGGAACGATTCGTGACACTCTAGATTTACTATATAAGTACTTTACTACTTTTTAATAAATTACTTTAACTCGGCGAAGAATTCTTTAATAGGATTTAGGTCTAGTAAATAGGGAGGTAGATAAACAAGTTTTACTTCGATAGCGTTATATATTTATTCGATTCGTTTACTGTAATAAAATAATATATTATCTATAACTATCACGGAATTAGGCTCGGGCCATCTACCGTAATAAAGGAGGAGCTGCTGGATAAAGTCCTTAAATACTACTCCGTTAGTGGCGCCTTAGAATACCCGTATAAGCAGGATGCTATTCTAGGAATATACAGGCAGGATCTAATATCGCTGTCCACGATGGAATTTGGTGATCTACACGGGCCTAACACCAAGAGGAGACTATCCCGTCCGTCGAAACCCAACTCTTTTATCGTAGCCAGATTTATTAATATATACGAGGTAATAAGAACGAAACGACGATAGATTATACTAGTAAAAGTCCCGTAGATCTGTATTCAACTCTTTAGCCACTCGGCGCGCTATCTTTTTAGACCAGCCTGTAGACCGCAATATCCTGCTGATAGTTGATTTAGGGATGCGAACTTCAAAATCGTCCTATAAGAACACTTCTATCTCTTTAAGGTATAGGTCAGGCTTCTCGAGGAGATATTGAAGGAGGGCATCGAGTATTGGAGGGGTAATAGATTAGCGGCGTCCGCGACGGTTTAGGGGTGCGGTTGTGCTGCCGAAAAGCCGAAGGTTTGCGCTGATTGCTTTGACGGCACCACGGCTGCACCTAGCCGCACCAGCAATCTCGCGGTAGGAGAATGCGCCGTCGACGATCATGTCTCGAATCAGCTTATGTTGTGAGGCTGCGAGATTCGGCGCCATCTGCTATAAATACTAATTATACCATGTAAGGCGGATCGTTCTGTATATGTTTCCTAGTTGTTCGATCCAATAAGGCTCAAGTGGTCGGATAATTTCTCGATTGTTCTAAGGGCCGAGCCACCGCCGAGCCACAGCCACAGCTAGAAGCCACAACCAGAAACCTCTTTCATTATCGGCATGTCCTAGTACGTCTAAATGATGGAGAGAGGAGCAGCCCTCCGCTGGAAATTTACGTTGTACTTCTAAAAATTCCCTGGCTAATGACCATTCTGAACCCTATTCCCCGCCCAGCCGAGCCAGCGACACCCCCGCAGCAGGCGCGTGATCTGGAAACACACGCTACTTTACCTCCATGTTATGAATCGCTCTTGCACTAGGCAATAGGCAACCCAAGGTGGTTCCTGATAGGCGGGTGTGTAGGGAAGGGGGATGCTTCAGATAGACGAAGTATTCAATAAGAGTGATCCTAGTATTGAACTAACTAACGAAAATGACTACGAAGAAGGAGAAGGACTGTGGTTCCCTGGGGGAGAGCCCTGGCTATATAGACGTAGGGAATTCGTGTGCTTAGTGTGGCTCGGTCTGGCTCAGTAACTTAGGCTCAGGCTGAGCCCTACTGATCCCAATTGAGCCAGACTGAGCCTGTCACGTGACTCCAACACTATTCCTCTCCTCTAATCGGTATACCTTCCTTCCTGAGCGACCCGATGTCTCTCATAAGGCCGTTTCGTAACACTCCAGTGGGTGTTCAGCTCACACGAGATATCTCGAGGCAGCAGCCAGAACAATCTTCCTTCGACAGTTTGTCCTTTACATACGAATGCAGATATATGACCTTTACAAGCAAACGAACAATTCCCTTGGCAAATCTATAACAGTATATCCGCTAAACAACCGTCAACCATGAGCGGGGCACCTGTTCCGCCCGCAAAGCTTAGCGTTCGAGAGCGACTACGTCAACAACTCAGGCCCAGAAGCCGTGCTTCATCACCCACCCCGGCGCCAGTCTCAACCCAGGCGTTGACATCATCAGCGCAGTCACCAGGTTCATCGTCAACGCAGATTTTAGCATCGTCGAGCTCACCATCAACTGGCCTGGTTGTCGCTAACTCACCGGGTGCCAGCGCCACCCCTTCATCACAACAGCAGGCAACGTATTCTCTCTCCTCTAGCAGCAATCTCTTGGATGATGCGCTCAAGCGACTCTCAGATAGCGATCGTGCAACCCTTCGAGAATATGTTCTCCCAACTTCCGACATTGGCTTCACCCTTAGGCAGGCTTTGGCCGCGGCCGAGGAGAAGCAACGTTACTGCATCGAGAAGAGGTGGACATTCACATTTGGTGGGCGGAAAGTCACTTTGAAAGAGGAGGCCGACAAGGTGGTTCACTGGCTGAACCGATTTACAGGAGTGGGAGATGTCGTGGCTAATGTGGATCCTGTGCATGTCGGCTTGCCGTGGGCTGGCATTCGCTTGCTCCTTGTAGTAAGAGCTGAGCCTCCTGAGAGACTACTGATATCGCGCTTATAATGATAGGCTACCGTCTCGGAGGCGAACCAAATGGCTTCGCTGTTGGTCGGGTGCGAGACTGCCCTATACATGGCAAATCGACTCACGGCATATATGGGCTTTTTGCAAGGTCTGCCTGCGACAGTGACACGGACCAACTTCGAGGCTAGATTGACGAGACTGTGTGCGTGCATCCTCCAATTTCTAGCTCAAGCTATCCGATCATACCAGTCCCCGACATGGAAACGTGCCCTGAAAGCGTTTTGGGAAGACAGCGATGTTCAGGAATTTGAAGCAGAGTGCGATCGTCTAGGGATTCAAGTCGAGATTGAGGCGACTACTTGTGACCGCACCTTAAGTACCCAAGACCGAAGGCGCACTGAACAGTTGAGGCAAGGGCTATACACGGTACTCCAAGAGATTAAAGGCCTCCACTCAATTCAAGAATCGCTTAAGCAGCTGCAGATCAAGATTGATTTAGACAAGTTGCCATATGCGAAAGGAGCTATGTACAATTCATATGGCGATGACCTCATTACCTGTCACCCTGCTACTCGAGTCGACCTCCTTCGTCAAATCCAGGATTGGGCTCAACAACCAGACAGTAAGAGCATCTTCTGGCTCAATGGAATGGCGGGCACGGGTAAGTCGACCATCTCTCGGACCATCGCAGGGTGGCTGGCCGATCAAGGTCGTTTTCGAGTGGTCGATCTTGGGGCGAGCTTCTTCTTCAAACGAGGTGAAGGTGACCGAGGCTCCGCACCACGATTCTTTCCGACCATTATCCGCCAGCTTGTGTTGAAGATACCCGGGTTGGATGATCTCGTCGCCGATGTGATAACTGGCGACCCGCTCATTTTCGACAAGGGTTTGGGTGAGCAATTCCGCAAATTACTGGATCAGCCATTACGCAAAGTCAACGTTGGTCCTCGTGCTTGTCCTATCCTGGTCGTTGTGGTTGACGCTCTAGACGAATGTGAGAAAGACAGTGACATTGAGACTATTCTCAAACTGTGGTCTCAAATACCGCGAATTACGACTATTCGTCTAAGGCTCTTTATAACGAGCCGACCCGAGCTGCCTATTCGACTAATATTTAAGGATATGTCGGTCGATGCCTATCAGGATATGTCTCTGGAAATCTATCAGGATATCCTTCTCTACAATGCGGTTCCCCGGACGACAATTCAGTCTGATATCTTGACTTTTCTGCAAGACAAGTTTTCGGAGTTTCGGAAAAATATCAAGGCGGATCCACCACTCGATCAGGACTGGCCATGTCAGAAAGATCTCGAAGCTATAGTCAATATGGCTGTCCCATTGTTTATCGTTGCCGCCACTGTGTATCGCTTTGTGAGTGATATTAACTACGATCCCCGAGAACGACTTGAAACAATCTTGAAATTTCATGGGACGGGTCAGTTGGAGCAGATGGAACAGACATACCTGCCTGTACTTAGGCAACTATCCGTACAATTCAGCTCACAGGACAAGAAAAAGCTGTACCAAGAGTTCCGGATGGTTGTAGGATCTATTGTCACTCTCGCTGAACCGCTTTCCAGGAAGTCTCTTGCAGCTCTTCTCCAAATGTCTCAAGAAACGTTGAAGCGCCGCCTCAACCCATTATATTCTGTTCTGCGAGTTCCTGATGATGTTGACACACCAATTCGGACCCTCCATCTATCCTTTCGAGAGTTCCTTTTAAGCGACAAACTTCAAAATGAACCTTTCGGAGTGAATGGCCCAGCTACGCATCGAATGCTAGCGAGGAAATGCCTAGAACTACTCTCGGAGTCGGATGGTCTACAAGAGAACTTGTGTAAGCTTGCGTATCCAGGACAACTACGACGAGAGGTTAACCAGACTACAATCGATGAACGTCTCACACCCGCTTTTCAGTATGCATGTCGATATTGGGTCCATCATGTTGAACAAAGCATGGTCCGAATTCATGATGAAGACGAAGTGCTCCTGCAAGAAGCAGTGCACGTCTTCTTGCAGGAGCACTTCCTACACTGGCTTGAAGCTCTAAGCCTAATGGGCAGAATTTCTGAAGTTGTTGGGCATGTGGGCGTCTTACAATCGCTTTTGTCAGTAAGTGACCTCTGACTCGGAATTCAAGGGAAGGGGAGCGCTAAGATATGTCATAGATCAATAAGTCAACTCAGTTATCTGCTTTTCTTGAGGATGCACGACGGTTTGTCCTTGCGAACCGGTATATTGCCGACCTCGCTCCCCTTCAGATTTATTCGTCGGCGATGATTTTCGCACCACAGAGCAGTATCATAAGGAACATTTGTGGCAAGATCCCAACATGGATACAAAGGTGTCCGATAACGCCAGTAATATGGAGTGCGGAGCTACAGAAGCTGGAGGGACACACTG